AACAAACAACCGTCAGATTCTAATAAAAATGAATCATTGAGAAATAAATCGAGACGTCGTCGTAGGGGCAAAATCAGCAACTTTATTTACATTGCTCTCATGTTTTTAATGTTAATCATAACACCATCTAGTTGTGATTATAAAACAGCACCTTTGAATAGCAATCAGAGCATTTATTTCGATAAGATCTCCAACATGCGCCTCGAACGAGACGAGTGGAAATTAATTGTTTACTATGATATGAATCCCTATTGGCAAGGCTTTGTTCTGCTTAAAAAATACGTTGATCATCTGGGCAATATATGTGCTAATACAACAAATATATCACAATGTGACGCAATACTCATTCAACGTCACAGTAAGAATGAACTTGACCATTACAATAGCATGTTGTTTGGTCAGCAATTCACGGAGAATATCCGACGTAAGCGCGGTCTTATCAATCCTATAGGAAGCGTAGCGCGAAGCTTGTTTGGTGTCCTAGACGACGAGTTTGCTCAGCAATATGCCCGAGATATACATCAAATCAAGCGTAACCAAAAGCATTTGACTTCTTTATGGAAAAATAACACATCCATTGTTGAATCAGAGAACAACATCATCAAAAGAGTTGAAAATGAGATGGATAGACATCACAAGGTTTTCAATCAGCACCTGATCAGCTTAGAGAAGGGATTTAACACAATTCAGGGAGGAGTTCAAGAATCACTAATTTCTAACAGTTTCAGTATTTCTTCCATCGTTGCTAACAGCATTCTAATAAACTTAAAAACAATCCAAGAAAACATCGTGGATACTATTATGAACCTACACCATACAGGTTTCAATATTCACCTTTTAACACCTGAACAGCTGACGGATGAACTTAATATCATAACAGGACAGTTAGCAACAGAATTGACTCTTCCAATAGATAATATTCAGTCGGATTTATCTAAATTGTATCATTTATTAAAGACTAAAGCAAGAATTACGCAGCAGCTAATAATCTTCGAAGTAAAAATACCCTTAGTAAGCAGAGACAGCTATGACATCTACAAGATCATAACAATACCACAGCAAGTTGAAAGTAAAATGATCAGTATCATTCCCATAGCAGATATTCTCGCAATTAATTTACAGAAGGATGCATATATTCCAATGACGGAAAACGAAGTCCAGACCTGTATGTTTTATGACACAGAAACGTACATCTGCCCTTTAAAGGGTCCAGTTCATCAAATGAGGTCAGATGAAAACCTCTGCATTAGAGAAAATAAATCTAATCGTTGCAGGACTGCATCTACTATCTGCACAAATCATTGGACAGAACTTAATAAAATAAATACATATCTCTATTTTTGTTGCGGACTGTGCTCCATAAGAATCATGTGCGAATATCAAGTTACGGCCGAACAATTAACTAAGGCCGGCGTTATCATGCTCGGAAATGGATGCGTCATCAAAGGCGATACTTACACAGTTTATTCACATAAACTACTATCCAATACTTTGAAGACTACGGCAGACGTTCTGAGAATAGATATCCCACCCATCAACAATATAATCAATTTATCAATACCTATTGGTGCAATTAATGAACAGTCTGAGCATACCCACATCGAGACCCAAGGTCTAGTAAAGAAAGTCCACGATCAGTTGAGTCAGATGAAAGATTCAACGAGCATTGATGAAGATTATAACGACGGGTTCTCATATCACGACTTGCATCATTACACGGTGATATACTTATTGGCGTTCGCCCTGTGTGCGGCAGGAGCCGTGCACGTGTGGCGGCGTCTTCGGCGTGTGCGCAGCGTGGCTCTGCCCGCGCGCTCGCCTCGTCAGCAGCTTCAGAGTGCTAGTGTAATTAGTGTAAATGAGCTATCGGGACCCGGTGATATTGAGCTCAGTGCAATTTCAAGTGCGTGTAAACAAAACAGGGCTACATCGCCTATGTTACGTGAATCTGTTTTAAGTTAAAATAAATAACACTTTTATAGACTTTAAGTTTGTGTGTCAACCAATATTGTGCTCTCTATTATTATCATTGTCTTTTTAAATTCTTACATTTACGTATGTTATTTTTTGATTTTTTATCTTAGTCTCTCGTGCCTGGGAGCATGTACGGTCCACCCGTACAATTATTGGAATATTGTAGAATAAGTACTTTTGTACCGCGAGCGCACTTTACTTCAGTTCGCGTTCGATTCTCGCCGCGGTTACTCATTTGTATCATGTAACTATCATTAAAGTTATATTATCACTATATCATCGTATCATTTGTAGTTGTCCCGTACAGAAGTTATATTTAAAAGAATTCATCCAGTAATTGAATGCATGCAAAATATGATAAGATTATATTGTATAATTAGGTCTTTGTTAGTCGGTCGCTTTATCTGAATCCCTCTACCTCTATAAAGGGTTATCAGTTGGTGTTATGAATGCATTGAGTAAATTGTTATAGTATGATTAATTTATTGTTACTATAATAAATGGATGATGTGATTAACAACTGTAATTAATTTATACTTATCGAATAACAATTGACCGGGTAATTAGTTGTTATTGACTTCAGCTCGTGCCAGCAGATATAATTTCTCTTTGCAGATTTCTTGTAGAGAAATATTGCAATCTTTTTTCATGTTTATGTTATATAGGATTATAGGATTACTAGCGACCCGCCCCGGCTTCGCACGGGTGGTATATGAAATTATTATATATATATAAACCTTCCTTAAGAATCACTCTATCTATTAAAAATCCGCATCAAAATCCATTGCGTAGTTTTAAAGATCTAAGTATACATTGGGACAGACAGACGGCGCATAGCGAATTTGTTTTATACTATGTAGTCATAGTCATGTTATGTGCTTATGTTATACTAGCTTTTACCCACGGCACCGCTCGCGTCACAAAAGGATAAAAAGTAGCCTATGTGACATATACCAATACACACAGCGCCATCTATATCAATATTTTTGTTTTCCCTCGGGAATATAAAATTTTTCCGGGTTAAAAAGTACCCTATTATTTAATCCGAACTTCAAAATTTACGTCTGCAAAAATTTAAAGCAATCGGTTTAGTAGTTACGGCGTGAAAGTGGAACAAACAAACAAACAAACTCACTTTCCCATTTATAATATTAGTAAGGATAGGTAGGTTGCAAATCCTAGTTCTTAAGACACATGAAATGATTGTCCATTGTTTTCCTTTTATCGTTGGAGACTAAAGTTAATAGTTGCTGGTTTTTAATGGTGAAAGCAGGTGTTACCTATACCTATGCATTTTTGCCTATTTCCTTTTGTGTAATGAAACAAAAGGTATGATGTTAAGCAACAAATTGTGCTACTTAAGGTACGAGATCGAAGTATAGATTTCAAACAAATATGACTCAGGTCAAGACCTGACTCATCTACATTTAACTATCTAAAATTCTTTGTTTTATACTTCCGACCGGGGATCTACCCATTATAATGCCTATATGTTTATATTTATAATCTGCTTATGTGTTTGTAAACTAATTCATAAGGAAGGATAAATATTGTCTGAATCACTTCACTAAACAATACGAACGGAAGCAATAGTTTAGAAATGATAGGGAAATTTGTGATATAGTTAACTAACAATTTGTGGTAACAATAAGTAACTTTTGATAGTGATAAGTGGTGATTAGACAATTATGCTGTTCATAAGAATGTAGGTAGCTTGGGAGCAGTAAGAAGTATGTAAAGATCTATTTAGAAAAATTATGTTTTTGCTCAAGACAAGCAACGATAATTTTTGCTTACAAGTACTACTTATAAATATTATGGGAGTATAAAGTGAGAGGGAGTGAAATACAAGGTGTAATTGGAACGCTTCCAAAAACGCAGACAGGTGATAGTATAATAAAACACGATAGCTTAATTTTCAAAAATAAGTAATATTTTTTTTTACGCGATAACCCGCTAAGTTTTCATCCGCCCGGTGGTAAGCAATTGGCGTCGTCCATGGACACCAGGAACATCAGTCGCGGTGCAAGTGCGTTACCGGCCTTTTGGGGATTAGGTATTTGAGGAATGTTAGGGATTCAGGGATTGGAGAAATCGGGGGATAAGGGGGCGGGGTAGGTATCCCTCCGGTCGAGCCGGCCCATTCCTACAGAAGTACCTAAAAACTGTAAAAATAGACTGCGTTTTTGATAGCGTTTCGTTTACACCCTGTATACTTGCAAAATGTAAGTTAGTAAGTATGAAATTAGAAAGTGAACATACTATCAACAAATATAAGTAGTTATATAGTTTACACAGGAGTAATGTATGCCAATTGGTTTGCTTATCAACAACATGTAGGTACTTAACTCACATTGTTTTACGTAGAATTAGTGTTTCTCGCTAAATATACTAGTTATTATTCATGCTGTTTTGTTTTCGGTGACGTAACGTAAGAAGTATGAACTAAGGAAGTATGTAGTTACTCAACTATTGACCTAGTCTGAAATCTGAGAACCTAACGGGTTACCGGGGCTCCGGCTCGACGTGCAGGAGAAGGAACGGGGTTGTTTTTAGTCAGTCTCTTACTGACTAAAAACCACCCCGTTCCTTCTCCTGCACATTCCCTCCCGCCTCAGCTAGGCGGGAGCAGTCATTCGATGATTTTCCCTCCTTAAAAAAAGTCTGAAGTCTGGACTCTTTTACCTAAGAAGGGTTTATTGCATCGGTCTTCAGGCCTTGGAGACTGGTTGAATATCATAATTTGAAAGTTCAGCTTTATCCGAGCTAAAACTTTTTGGCTCTGAGAATCAATCCATTTGAGGGAGGAAGACTTCCGTCCTGGGTGAAGGAGTGTCAGACATCTATTGATTCAAACCACCCCGTTCCGACACTTGCTCGGAGCCGACGCCGCGCTAACTTTGCGCTTTGCCCATAACCCATAAACCGAAAATCGACTGAAATATAACCCCCAAGAGATAAAGGCGTAAGTTTGTAATAACCACCCAATTTTTATGGTATTACTAACATATGTAATTTGTTCCCAGGTAGTATACGGCTACCGCAAGAGTCGTTGGCGGACGGTGCTAACCTACGTGCTGTCGGTCTTGTTCTGTGGCCTGCCATTCCTGGTGTTCCACTGGCTTCCCACCTGGTTCCTTTACGTCACCTGCGTTCGATGCTCCTTCCAGTTAGCTGATAGAGTTCTGGTTGTTGTAAGTTTTTTTAAATATGTTATTGTTATGAAATAAGTAGATGTTTGATTCTTACTTTATACAACAATCATGTTGTAAGTATAAATATTTGAATATATTGAATGGAAATACTACCTCGGTTTGTTATATCGAAGTTTATTACGTGTTTGCGCTAAAAGTTTGAACGTCTTTCATAAATAAAACTCAAAATTTTTATTTTTTAACAAAACTTAATTGTTTTACGTCGTTTCAAATTGTTAATGTGTAATTTGGATTATGCAGATATTAATATTGTTTTTCGTTTTCAGGAAACATATCAAAAGAAGTGCAAGAGTTACTACATTCATTTAATATTACACAAAGATATAGCAGATACTAGGTAATCTAAAAATTAGTCATTTACATTTAAGTACACACTACCATTTAGTATCTTATGGCTCACAGTTTAGTGCACATTTCAGCTTTTTTGGTGCATATTTTTTTATGGCATGAGCCGGTAAATAAGCAGACGGATCACCTGATGGTAAGCAATCGGCGTCGTCCATGACCACCTGGAACACCAGAGGCGTTACAAGTGCGTTACCGGCCTTTTGGGGATTAGGAGTTTGAGGATCGTTGGGGATTCAGGAATTTGGGAGATTGGGGAAGGGTAAGGTAATTGGGCCTCCGGTAACCTCACTCACACGAGGAAACACAACGCAAGCGTTGCTTCACGTCGGTTTTCTGTGAGGCCGTGGTATCACTCCGGTCGAGCCGGCTCATTCGTGCCGAAGCATGGCTCTCCCACACTTAATATTATCCTCCCCTTCTTTAGTATTTCATCACTTTATATTAAGTGATAAAATGCTGTCATAATTTTGCATTTATGCATCACCTACATTTGTGTTGTATCCATGTTTTTATTTTATAACAAAGTTTTATTATTATTCATACATATGATTTATGCATATTTCAATTGACTAAAACTAAAAATGGAGATTTATAAACAAGGTAATTATACAACATTGGTATTGAATACAGAAATAATATTCTTTAAAATTTCAGTGGTTTACTAAACCAAGGGTTTGACGACGATGGCTCGAAGAAGGGTCCCATTGAAAGTCCAGACGCCATACACACTCCCATACATCTGGATGATGGGACTACACTTAGTGAGTATACATATATAGTATTTTATAATATATTAATAATATTTTTAGTTCATTCTCTGTATTTTAGTAAGTGATAAATCAGTTAAGGTAACGATTGCCTTGTCGGTTGAGTGGTTGGGTGACAAGGGGTCATAGGGTCTTTTTTTTGGGGTCATACAAAGTTTTTGATTGCAACAGCATTGATTGACAAGAGGCTTGTTCATTATGACGTGCGATATGTAATGAAACTGCTAAAAATTAAGCGCTGTCTAGAATAAAACCGTTACATATAATAATTGTGCATATTATATTGTGTAAATCACGTGTGTATTCGATACGGAAGCGTTATCGTGTTGTTGCGTCATACGACTGGGAAAGACCTAAACACATGTCCTGATAACGGTACACAGACTCCTACGCGTAGCGCCATTCAATATTTAATTGTTATGACCTACAAATTAATGACCGTACATGAAGTACTTTTAACAGGCTAAAATATTCAAAATATATTATATCGTAGCCAGTGTTTCCGAGTTATATTTACGTTCTAAGATTATATAGACACCACTGACAAACGATGAAGGAAAACATCGTGAGGAAACCTGGGCTTATATTTTCTAATTATAAGTTTGAAATCGCTAACCCGCATTCAGCAAGCGTGGTGAATAATACTCAAAACATCTCCGTGCAAGAAGATGCGTTTGGTCAGTAGTGGCCAATTATTGGTTGTTGATGATGAAAAAAAAAAACATTAATATGTTACTGGTAACGGGAAAGAGTTCAAGCTACCAGTCGTCAGGCCTCCAGAGGGAAATTTCCCTACAATGCTATTACTATATATTTGTATTATACGAATATTCGTTATTGAAATGTTCAATTCAGACTATTTCTTTATGTGCATACTAATATTAAACACACCTTGTTTCACTTTCAAGAACTTATTAAAAGCGAATTGTAACTTTAACCTTTTTTGGGTTCTGGAGCAAACTTTAGTGCCAATGGCTAAGCACTAAATTGAACATTTTCATTCTAAGATTTACATTTACTTTCCACCAGATGTACAAAACTACAGATATTTCCGGCATAAGAAGCAGTCTCTTATTTGGGATGGTACTCGAGCTAAATGGACGAGGCTGGCGGGAATCGAATCTGGAGCCTCATGTGCACAGCTACAAGCCATGGGCGCTACTCCACCGTCCAGTGAAAGACGAGTTCGGATGTGAGTAAAATTTTACTGTAATATAAAATTTGTGTTTTATTAAGTTTATTTGTTAAAGTCAATCATCACTTTCTTGTAGTGTTTTGCTGATCAAACCTCTATATTTTTATGTAAAACTGGAAGAATTTCTCCGTTTCTAGAAGAAGAAATGACGCGTTGTATTCAATTGATTGATTAAATCTTAATTTTCAATTAAAAATAATAATAATAATAAATCATTTATTCAAAATAAAGAAGTACACGTTACACAATCATGACACTAATCTAGAATTCATGAAGACATTTATTATATAACTATGTTCAATGACCCCCGTGCTAGGAAAACCTGTGTTACAGGGGTCATCCCACCGTCCGTTTTATTGATAAGTACATAACTATGAAAGGTGTATTATGATATAAAAAAAAAATAAAATAAAAATTGAGAATAATATTAACAAAGGTAAGGTAAGATAAAAAAACAACGGCTAGACTGAATAAGCAACTTTTGGTACAAGCAAAATCAGAATACTGATAGAAAGGAATTCTGCAATCCTTGAATAATGTGAGTGTATATGTGAGTGAGTGAGTGTGTGTATGTACGTGAGTGTGTGAGAAAAAGAGACCTTCTTACTCTTATTCAATGTACATTATTATGTACCAGTAAAAAACCAGCTAAATAAAAAAAGAACTGACCTTTTATTAATATTTCCTTACAGCAATCCATTTAACATTAAACATCTCTTTTCTCAGGTTAAACATCTACGGTCTAAACGAGATCAACGTGCCAGTCCAGTCGATCATGACTCTGATACTCCTGGAAGTGTTCAACCCATTCTATGTGTTCCAACTGTTCACTATAGCTGTGTGGTTAGCTGAGCCGTATTATTATTACTGCATCGCCGTTGTATTAATGTCTACGTTTGGTGTTGCCACTTCTGTTATACAGACTAAAAAGGTTAGTAATGTTTTTAAAGTATTTTTACTAGTTTCTACCAGCTACTATGTCGTTTGTCGAGGTAGTAGTATTTGATACAGGCTATCTCTATATAATGTGTTCAGAAGTTTCGCATGAAGCATCCATATGTCGTCTCAAATTGTCGCATTTATATTTTCTTATTTATATGACAACAGGATCCCCAAGGGTTAATATAGTAATACCCCATAATTAGTTTTTTAGCGACAGAAACTTAACATTTAAACTGTCAAACACCGCGAGGACACCGGTGACCGCAACCTATTGTTCTTTAATTGTGTCTATAATGACGGTACTCAAATGTTTATATACCATTACTTACTTTTCAATAACTAACGTAAAAACCAGTTCTGAGACACGTTGTCCATTATAGTTTCAAAAAAAACAAACACAAATATTCACCCAATTGTTCCCACTCCAGAATCAAACCAACCTCCGTGCGACAGTAGAAGCTCACGACACAGTAGAGCTATGGGACGGTCGCACAGTGGACAGTCGTTACGTGTCCCCCGGGGACATAATAGTGCTGCCACCTCGCGGCTGTATACTACACTTCGATGCTGCATTATTATCTGGCGCTGCTGTGCTTAACGAGAGCATGTTGACTGGTAAGTTCAGAAATCATAGTTGAGTTGTATTTTAAGGGTCACATGGGTTATGGGGGGTCAATAGTCACCCAGATTAATGACCCCCAAAATGTGATTTCAGAAGTCTGCGTAAGATGAAACTGACTAATCGTCGTCAAATAACGTACCTTAGAAATGTATTCGTATAATTAAAAATAACTGATCATCGTCTGATGTGCACGCTCCTTCTTTGTATATGCTATGTTAGGACAAAAACAATGATGAACAGTTTTTTGTTTATTGACTTCTTGTCAATCATGACTTAATTTTCTTTATTTTAAAAGGATGTACCCTTAATTATATTACTGATCTATTTATTATTTTCCAGGTGAATCAGTACCCGTAACAAAGACAGCGTTACTCCGAGTGGACCGTCCCTTCGACCTGAAGGAGCACGCGTCCAGTGTACTGTTCTGTGGCACGAAGGTCATACAGACCCGATACTATAATAACGAGCCTGTCAAGTTAGTAGCACTATTCAATATGTACTAGTATGTAAAACGTAACGATCTAATCGATGATATCGAATTTTTAAGGTTTCTGAAAATAACACAAATATATTATAAATATATTATTAATAATAATAATATTATGTCTTAGGTAAAACCAGTCAGCCTTCTATCGAATTCACAGAATTTAAAATTCTTATAACTGTTGTATTGCTTGTTGTATAAATTGAAAGTGTTCCTAAGATACAACGTACCTAAATGTATCACTAGCTTCTCGACAGTCCCAAGCCCTTATAATGAGCAAAATTTTCATTCTTCACTTTAAGGATAAGAAATCACATATACCTATTTCTACATCTCACCATTTCACATACGTGATCAACCCATCTTTTCCTACTAGGGCTCTAGTACTCCGCACAGGCTACAACACAAGCAAAGGTCAGTTAGTCCGAAGCATCCTGTACCCAGTGCCAGCAGACTTCAAGTTTGACAGAGACTCGTACAAGTTCATCATCATACTTGCTTGTATAGCGGCCGTGGGACTTGCTTACACTGTCGCTCTCAAGGTGAGATGGGGTCTATAATCATTTAAGTTGGGGTCATAATAATAATTTGTTTGGGGTTAGCCTTTAGTTCGACAGATTCTTACAAGCTTATTATCATACTCCTTTGTATAGCGGCTGTAGAACTCAAGGTGAGATGGGGCCTTTAGTCATTAAAGTTGGGGTCATGGTAATAATTTGTTTGGGGTTAGCCTTTAGTTCGACAGAGATTCTTACAAGCTTATCATCATTCTCCCTTGTATAGCGGCGGTAGAACTCAAGGTGAGATGGGGTCTTTAGTCATTAAAGTTGGGGTCATAGTAATAATTTGTATGGGGTTAGGTTAGACTTTAGTTCGACAGAGAATCTAACAAGTTCCTCATCATATTCGCTTGTATAGCGGCCGTAGGACTCGCCTACATTGTCGCTCTCAGGGTGAGATGGGGTCTTGAGTCATTAAGGTTGGGGTTGTCGTAATATTTTTTATGGGGTTAGGTTAGACTTTAGTTCGACAGAGATTCTTACAAGTTCCTCGTCATAATAACTTGAATAGCAGCTGTAGGTTTTACGTACAATGTCGGTCTCAGGGTGAGATGGGGTCTTTAGTTATTTAAGTTGTAAAATTGTATGTGGTTAGATTTTATTTCAAACACTCTCAACGTTTTCGCTTAGTATTTTTATTTTACTGCTCTGTTGTATAAAGAATAAATATATAATTATATATTTGAGTTTTAAAACCATTTACTGCACTGGCACTATAAACAACTAAATCACTAAATCGCCGCTTATAGAGGTGCCACATAATAACTTAGTAATAATCTGTATTTATAGAACTCCTCAGTCAGACCCTAGTCAATTCTTGTCAAAACTAAACAACCTTTTAAATTCTTTATTTAAAAAATATAAAACAAAAAAACGTATAGTAATAACTGGTGATTTCAATATCAACACTTTAAAAAAGAATAATATCACATCTGATTTACAGAACTTATGCAATAACCATTACTTGAAAATACATATCGATGTGCCTACACGCAAGTTATCATGTATTGACCACATTCTGAGCAATGTAATAGGTGCGTCTGCAACAGTTCTGCCATTACATCTATCAGATCATGACACGGCCCAGTTACTTACCTTTCCTATTAAAAACAAATCACAAAAACCTCCAATATACTATATTATCAGAAGAAATTACAGCTCCGCCAACATTCTTAAATTCAAAGAATGTTTAGGAAATCTATCATGGTCTGAAGTATACACTGAAAATGACTCGAATACAGCGTTTAGCAAATTTCATGAGTTATTATGTTTATTTCATAAGCTCTGTTTTCCCGAAAACAAAATTAAAGTTAATATGTGCGATAAAGGAAAACAAAAGTGGATAAGTAAGGGATTAAAGCGAAGCTGTAAAATGAAAAGAAAATTGCGGTTTCAATATTATGAAAACAAAAATACATTGAATAAAAATAAGTATTTAACCTATGCTAAAATTCTACAAAAATGTATATACAATTCTAAAAAAAATACTAATATTAAATTTATAAAAGAAAATGATAATAAGTGTAAAGCTACTTGGACAATTATTAATAACGAAATAAATAACAACACTATTAAACATAACATAGATAACATAAATATTGAAAGTAAAGTTATTACAAATCCCAAAGAAATAGCAACAACTTTTAACAACCACTACATTAATCTAGGACATGTTACGACAAACAACTACACGTATAGCAACAACAATAAAACAATAATTCCTAACTCAATATTCCTTAAACCAATGTTACCAAATGAAGTTAAACAAGAAATAATGTCTCTAAAAAATACAAACGCGGCCGGATATGATGAGCTGGGTACAAAATTAATAAAATCATGCAAGGATGTGTTAGTTGAAATCCTTACGTATCTGATAAATTTATCATTCTCACAAGCGATTTTCCCAGCTGCGCTCAAACTATCGACCGTAAAACCATTATTTAAAAAAGGAGAACGAAACAACATAAATAATTATCGTCCAATAACCCTGATACCTATACTGTCCAAGGTATACGAAAAATGTATGTACAAACGTCTAGTGAATTTCTGTGACAAATACAATATCATTCAAAAAGAACAATATGGATTCCAAAAACAAAAATCTACCACTCTAGCCATTTATAGTACCATAAGTACAATCTTAACAAACTTAAACAATAATTATCTGACCACTGGCTTGTTTTTTGATCTATCAAAAGCCTTTGATCTCGTTTCACATGACATATTGTTAAACAAAATTGAAAAATGTGGAATAAGAGGTCCTACTTATCACTGGATAGCTTCATATCTTAGCGACAGACAACAATGTGTAACAATATCAAAAATTGATGAAAATATGATACTTACACCATCAACATCAGAATACAAAAATGTCAGGCGTGGTGTACCGCAAGGTAGCGTGTTGGGGCCTATTTTATTCCTGTTGTACATAAACGATGTCGTAAATATCACCAACCATAAGTGTGTTCTTTTTGCTGACGACATATCGATTATAGTTACAACGCGTAAGAACGGAAACACAACAAATGACCACGCGCTTGATGTTAACAACACAATAGATAAATTAATCGATTGGTTAGATAGTAATAAATTAAAAATAAATTTGGACAAGTCAGTGTACATACAATTCAATAAATCAAATACTACAAAACATAACATCAACCTAACGATACCAAAAGTTAAAAGAGTAGGTGAAACAAAATTTCTGGGCTTAATTATAGATGAAAATATGAATTGGAAGGACCACGTTGAACATATATCTGCTAGGATAAACAAATTTGTGTATGCACTTAAGCAAATAAAAAATATTACAAACTTAAATACAGCAATAATGGCTTATCATGCACATGTAGAATCATTGCTTCGCTATGGCCTAATAATGTGGGGATATAGCACGGATAGGGATAAGGCATTTATCGCACAAAAAAAGTGCATAAGGGCTATGTACGGTTTGCAACCTGATCAGTCATGCCAACCAATATTCAAAAGACTTGGTTTGTTACCATTACCGTCGCTTTACATTTATGAAGTATGTATGTTCGTTACAAAGAACAAAGATTTATTTAAAACTGCAAATGATGTCAATCCACGAAATCGCAGAGATCCATTTAGACTTGTACTAAATGACTTTCCTAGATCAGCAAAATATAATAAGAATTGCTTGGCTATGTGTATTCGTATCTATAACAATATACCTAATGATTTGAAATGTCTTAATATAAATCTATTCAAGCGAAAATTGCACAAATGGCTTAATGAACAAAACTATTATTGTATAAGTGATTTCATGCAGAGGAAATTAACCTCACGCCTAGGATGTTAATTTTAGAACTTTTCCTGATTTTGCATGCTATTAGAAATATTAGCAAAACATGTTGTACTTTAACCATATTTTTGTAACACCTATTTTATACCATGTTTTAAGCAAATAAATATATTATTATTATTATTCTAAGGTATTCCCTTTTTCTCGAAATTACAAATTTCGGTAATAATAAGAAGTTCACGGGCCTAAGCCAAGTGAACATCATGGGGTACTTGTTCGGTGGTCTCTTCTTGCAAAAACTTCCTAACAATACGACAGGTGTTCAGAATTGCGGCTTTCTGCATGGTTGTGTATGTGTTTTTATGTAGGTCTAGGAGTTGGATACCGTGATGTAAGTTTTTAGGGATGACTCCCGTACTGGAGAGCACCAACGGCACAATATATACTTTATTCATTTTCCAGATTCTAAGTATTTCTTCTTTAAGCTCTGTATATTTGTGTATCTTCTCCGTTATTGTTTTCTGTAGATTGTGGGTATTTGGGATGGCTATGTCGGTAATATATACTATTTTGTTAACTTTATCAATTAAGGTAATATCTGGTCTGTTATTGTGTACAGTTTTATCAGTTAAAATAGCTCTATCAAAGTATAGTGTGTGATTTGGACCCTCCAGTACAGGTTTTGGTGTATATTGGTAGTATGGTACGGCAGGCTCTGTCAAAAGTTTGTGTTTGATGGCAAGTTGTTGATGGATGATGTGTGCGACTTGATTATGTCGGTGTGTGTAATCTGTTTGGGTGAGTGTTGGACAAGCACTAGTGATATGCTGAATAGTTTCAGATTGTCGGTGGCATTTCCTACATTTATCATTTTGAGTATTGGGGTCTTTCATTATAAATTTCCTATAATTTTTTGTATTTATTACTTGGTCCTGGATTGCAATCATGAAACCTTCAGTTTCAGGGAATAATGAACCTATTTTGAGCCACTTGTTGGAAGCTTCAAGGTCTATGTGTGGTTGTTCTAGATCGTGGATATGTCGCCCATGTAATTCTTTTGCGCGCCATCTATCTATTTTTATTTTTTGATGATCTTTAACTGAGTTGAATTGCAACTCTTTGTTGTTTAAATTTAAAGGTGTATAGTTATTGTCTGTTTTAGTGACTGCTTCATGAATTTTACTACTGTTAGCTTTATCAAAAAAACTTTCTGAGTGATTGTATCTGCTGTTCCCACAATAACTTTAAATCGACTAGACCTCTTCCACCATCTTGTCGTTTTACGGAAATTCTTTCAATTGCAGACTTAGGGTGTAAATAATTATTTTTAGTTAGGGTTGTCCGGATTTTTATTTCTATTTTGTTAATGTCTGTTTTTGTCCACTTAATAATTCCAAAGGTATAGGTCAACACAGGTATGGCAAATGTATTGATGGCTTTGATTAGGTTTTTAGAGTATAATTGTTTATTGCAAATTAGATTTAATCTACGTGTAAATTCTCCGATAAGTTTGTTTTTTATCTGTATATGATTTATAACATTAGATTGCTGTATGCCTAGGTATTTGTAAGTTTCAGAAGTTCCCATTTCCTCAAACGTGTTGTTCTGTTCGGCTGCATCCTCTATTGTTATGGGACTTTTTAGACGTCCTTGTTGTATATGTAATCTACGGCACTTATCCAGTCCAAACTCCATTTTTATATCTTTACTAAATTTTGTTGTAATATTAATTAGTGTTTGTAAGTCTTTTTGTGTTTTTCCGAAAATTTTTATGTCGTCCATATACAATAAATGAGTTAAAATGGTATCATCAGTTAATTTGTATCCGGAGTTTGAGTGGTTAAGGAGATAGGAAAGCGGATTAAGGGCAAGACAGAACCATAAGGGACTCAGTGAGTCGCCTTGGAAAATACCATTTTGAATGGGTATTTCATCAGTTGTTATGGAAGAGTTATTGTTGGAAAGATGGAGGGTAGTTCTCCAGTCTAACATAGCATTTTGTAAAAATGATATAATGTTCGGGTGTATTTTATATATTTGCAACACTTTGATTAGCCAAGAGTGGGGCACACTATCAAAAGCTTTTCTGTAATCTATATAAGCAATGTGCAAGTTACGTTTATTTAATTGGGCTTGTTTAAGAACTATGGCATCAATAGTAAGCTGCTCCTTACATCCCTTATGATTCTGCCTGCAACCCTTTTGTTCTTCTGATAATATGTTGTGAACTGTGATGTGACTATTGATTTTAAATGCAATACAAGATGTTATTAACTTATAAATAGTTGGCAAACAGGTTATAGGGCGATACTGTGATGGATTTGTAGTATTATCGGTTTTCGGCAACATATATGTAATTCCTTTGGTTATAAATTTGGGTAGTTCTTGTTGTCCTTTAATAAGATCAGTGATAATTCTTGCAATTGTGGTATGTAAACTGATAAATTTTTTGTACCAGAAGTTGTGTACACTATCTATTCCTGCTGCTTTCCAGTTTTTCATCCTTCTTGTGATGTATCTTATGTCCTCTATTGTTATGTCATCAAATTCCATTGGCTCTATATCGCTTATCCTATTTTCTTCATCAATTATCCAAGAAGCTTGTAGGTTATGGTCACCCTTATTTTCCCATATTTGAGACCAATAGTTTGTAAGATCAGTTTCTGTAGGTATACCATTTGATAGTTGAACGGAACCTTGTCTGAAAGATCGGTAAAAACCTTTCTCGTTATTCGAAAATAGTTTATTGTCTTGCTTTCTCTGTAATGCTTTAACATATCTAGCTAGTCTTTGGGATTTTAACGCTAACTTTTGTTTTAAGGTATCTAAAAATTCATTCGGTCTATTATTGTTTCTTTCATGGGATGAGTGAACTTTATTTTTACTACATATTTCTTCTACTTTCAGAACTAACCTAGTTGACCTGTTGCCATTTATATATTGAGTGAGTCTCCCTATGTCTGCCCTAAGTTTTTGAATATCTAATTCAATTCTAATTTGCCAGTTAGGTTTGTTTGACTTTTTATTCTTTATTCTACTTTCTTTATCTCTTATATTGTATCCTAGCTTTTCACTTATTACTAATGCACTACAGTAAATTAGCGTGTGAATTGTATTTACGTCTGAATCTATGGAACAATGCCGGTTTAATATGTATTTATTGAAAATTTCAACGTATTTATAAAGTATTTTGTTTTCTTTTAATCGGGGTAACTTTGGGCGCGCTGTAGGATCAGTACCTTGATATTTTGTAAGAGCTGTTTCTAGTGCATTTGCTAGTTCCTGCGTGTCTGTGTCGTAACTTGTTTCTATAATATCTCTATCCTGATAAAATTGTTGTGTCTCCAAAGAAGTGTTCGAGTGATTTGTTTGAGTTGATGCGTGGGATTGTGTGTTTAAAGAATATGAGGCGATGGAGTGTGTGTGTAAAGAATGTGAGGTGATGGGCGAATGAGGGTCCGATGATGTATGTAATGATGTTGTTGAAGTTTGGGTGCGTTCTTGATGATCATCATCACGAGACTGAAATGTTGAATTTAATGTCAATATATTAAGATTGTTGCTATTTGCTTCTTCAGCAAGCTGGGTGGCTATTTCAGTTTTAATTTTTTGTATTGTTTCGTCAGATAAAAGTTTATTTCTTAGTATTACTCTTCGTTGGTCGGCAATTCTTTGTGCAGAAACATTTAATTCTGGGTATTTCGAGGAAAAACGGTCATGAAGTTTCTTGCAATACATAGTTCTATCTGTTTCTAGTCTGGTTACATAATAATATGTGCGCATGATAAATAGGTTTATTTCTTCGCTCCATTTCATGCGCACTCTGGGTTTACCAGCTTTGGTGGTCGCAGGTTGAGTGGCAAGTGCCTCCTGCGAAACATCCTCAGCTGGAGTGGTTGCTCTACTACTATTGCTATCTGAAAACTCGGCTGTAGTCCTTGAGGACATTCCCCTACCCCCCGCGTCCCCGACTCCCGCCCAGCCGTCCAGCCGGGAGTCACTGGCTAGCATGCTGTCACGTCTGACACCAGCTACAGACGTGCCCCGACGATCCTCGGGCAGCGGCCCTAAACGTAATCTTCTATTTCTAGTCTCCATATTGATGGGTTACCTTTACCTTGTTAGCCGTATAAGTTTCAATTGTATACGTGTCCGCCCCCCACGTGGTTAGATGTTCAACCAGGACGTAAGGTAGGATTTTAGGGGGCTTATTATATATATATGGGATTATTATTATTATTATTATTATTATTATTAATTTCTCCTTGTTATCGTTTACTTTTTAACCGACTTCAAAAAAGGAGGAGGTTATACGTTCGGCCGGTATGTTGCTTTTTTTTTTGTATGTATGTACGCGCATAACTCTGAGATGCGTGAAGCGATTTGCAAAATTTTTGTTTTGTTGGAAAGGGTATACTCCCAAGATGGTCCCATTTCCATGAGGTCAGGATCTGATGATGGGATCCTAGGGAAACCGTGGGGAACTTTCAAAAATTATATGGGCGAGTGATGCGTCTATTATGTTTTTCAATTAGGATTTTTAAACACTACAATTTGATAAGGGTCTGGAGTCGACCTGATGATGGAGCCGATAGACAGTCGAGGGAACTCCTCAGCGGTTTATACTAACTACCTTGTGTTTGGGCTTAATTAATTTGTATTGATGAGGACTTTACACCTAGATAGAGTGGGGCTGTCATTAAAGGTCTGATGATGACGAAGTGTAATTGCTAAGGGAACTCCTCAACGATATACAGTAACTACCTTGTGTTTAGGCGTGTATAATTTGTATTGATTAGAACTTTGCACATATGTAGATTATAAGTAACAAAACGGGTATATGTAGCTTTACACTGAAAATGATAAAATAATAAAATAAAAACTGCGTTTAAAAAACCGACTTCAAAAAACCAAAAACTAATAACAAACAAAAAGCCTAAACTAAAAAGCAAAAAATAACTACATATTATTAGTACTGATAGGTTACCCACCCACTGATAGATAAGAAGTCGGTGCCATAAGCTCATATCATAATGATATAACTGTCCACAAAATTGTGAATTAGGTACCTATTAAGGTTTTAATGAATAATTTTATATGGAACTTATGGCACCGACTTCTTATCTATCAGTGGGTGGGTAACCTATCAGTACTAATAATAGTTATTTTTTGCTTTTTAGTTTAGGCTTTTTGTTTGTTTATAATAATGACTATCATGAGACAATAAATTGATTACGTAATATGTAACACCAACACCGCGATTATTATAGACCCCTTCCGTTGCTTGAAACCTGTCGAGTAACCTCGTATTATATAAAATTAACATTTTTTTTATATTATTTTCAGGCATACCGCTCTCTAAGTCCAGGAGACATAACTCTGAAAGCTCTAGACATAATAACGATAGTGATCCCGCCTGCCCTACCGGCGGCCATGACAGTAGGTCGCCTTTACGCAGTGGCGAGGTTGCGGCGAGCTCGCATTGCGTGTCTCAATACTCGAGCTGTTAATGTTAGCGGGTCGCTGGATTGTGTATGTTTTGATAAGGTAAGTTAAATATTATTTTAATTTATAGGTACTTTAGGTTTTTGGGAAATTATTTAAAAAAGACATGCTTTTGGTTTGATTTAATTTTAACACTTATTGTTACTGGCTTAAGTATATAGAATTATTCTGCAAGTTCACGATGAAAACTAAAGTGCAATTCATTACTGAGTATTGCGCTAACTGAAATAGCCAGTGGGCTCATTTTTATGCTTTAATTCTATTATTATTAATCTCGTAAGGCTTATAATAGGACTTAGGATTATTAATAGAAGTGGCAAAAAGTGGGAATGAGTTCACTTCGGAGACGTGTCGATCCATGTTGTATTATTCATATCTTTCAAAATTCGATAACGCTTTATGGATTTATTCAACTGTCTATGTGATAATTATAATGGACGAGTATCACAAAATAATAATAATTTTATTATTTTCCAGACTGGAACTTTAACAGAAGATGGTCTAGACATGTGGGGTGTAGTGGCAGTAAGTGGTGCCACAAATCCCCCCCGACTAGGTAGACCCCAGCGTGACCCCCGACTACTCAACGAGTTGCATCCCCTAAAGTTGGGCATGGCGACCTGTCATAGTCTTACTTTGCTTGACCATGAGCTGGCTGGAGATCCTCTGGATTTGAAGGTATGATGATAACTAATTACTTTACAATTAAATATTAACTTTGCGTGATAGTACATTAAGTTGGTTTTCCAACTGTCTATCGAAATCATTCTATTATGATTTTTTGGATAATATTACAGTGCTATTGTGAGTGTAAACAAGAATTGGTTTCAAATCACTTCTTTGTCATTCATTTATTATCAGTCATCATTTTGAATTTTACTATTTTGCAGTAAAGTTCAAAATGTATTAAAAAACCTACATGTATATACAGACTAGGTCAATAATATAATGCTAATCTTATATCTTATACTATTATATAAGGCGGAAGCGTTTTTTTTTGTTTGAACGCGCTAATCTCCGTAACTACAAGTCTGATTTGAATAATTATTTTGTGTTGGATACCACATTTATCGAGGATGGCTATAGGCTATAAAACATCACGCTACGATCAATAGGAGCTGAGCAGAGCGTGTGAAACCGCGCGGAAGTAGCTAGTTTACATCATAAGAAGGTTCATGACTATTGACCCCCAAGTAATGTGTCTAGATGTTCGAGTCCACTGGTTGGGTGCTAGAAGAGCCAGATGTTCCAGAACATTCCAACTACGAGATCCTAACTCCAACTATAGTAAAGCCGAGGAAAACTGCTAACATTGACGTCGATGATATACATGTAAGTATTTCAATATAATAACCTGTATTTTAAATATTAATATTCATTAATAATACAAAGTACTTAATTTATTTATTTATTTACTGTAACTTGAAACAACTTGAATGGTACACCAATATTATTTACTATACTATAATAAAAATAATAAATAAGACGGCACAAATAACTTTGCGCCATTTAAAACTTAACTTAATTGTTGACCACATTCTTATAATTTTTGTTTGGCATGATACTTAAACAAAACTAAAAAATACCAAAGTTTACCGGGACAGATGGTACACGAAAACATCTGGAAACTATATATTTCCGTAATGTAAAAATGTCAAAATGACGGAATTTTGTCGTTTTTATCTTTTTTACTCGTTTTACCTCCAGTTAATTTTAAGTTGTATATTTATTAATAATTAGGTTATATAAGTGTATTATTTCTTAATAAATACTTATTTTAAAGACGACAGTATAAAAATGTCTTGTAATGATTGTGTCATTGCGTCCCCAGCTGCCCCTGGAAGTGGGCATAGTCCAGCAGCACCAGTTCGTGTCGTCCCTGCAGCGCGCGTCCGTGGTGGCGCGCGTGCTGGGCGAGGACGTGCTGCGCGTCTACACCAAGGGCGCGCCCGAGATGTTAAAGACACTCTGTGTTCCTGAAACTGGTATGTTGCTACATTCTAATAGTTCTTCATTTATATGATTTGCGCAATCCAGTGCGCAAAGTTGCGCTAAAATGAGTTTGCGCAAAATAATTACTAGTTGAAAAACCATTTTTATCGCTTCGTTTATTGAGTATTTGCAAGTCCGAAAATACAAGGGGTCTTTGATTCGCAGATCGAGCAATCTTAAGATTTTTCATTTATTTGACAATTCTTAATATGCATGAATGCTTAAAGTGTGCTCTAAGCGCTCATTTCCCAATTGACTAGTAAATACAAACGGACATTTCAACTTATCTCTTTGAGGGACAACCCTATTATGTATAAGTACTATTTAAAATTATTTGTTTTGTTTACAGTACCTGATAACTTATACGAAGTTTTGAACTCGTACGCGGAGAAGGGGTACCGAGTGATCGCAGTAGCCACCAGGGTATTAGAAGTCACCTTCAAACAACTGCAGAAGATGACCAGGGAAGAGGTTAGTCGTAGAGCTATATTATACAAAAAATATATTTAGACAATTTATATCCTCTTCTGGGTTGATTCTCCAGTTCGGACAAAGCAATATTGGGCTTTTTTGGTTTAAATATATTCAAATAACTAGCTTCTGCCCGCGACTTCGTACGCGTAATCCCATTTTTTCCCGTCCCCGTTCACGATTTTCGGTAAAAAGCAAAAAAAAAATGTTGGTTAAAAAGTATCCTATGTCCGTCTCCTGGCTCTAAGCTACCTCTCTACCAATTTTCAGCTAAATCTATTCTGCCGTTCTTGTGTTATAAGTGGTGTAACTAACACGACTTTCTTTTATATAAGGTGTTAATAAATTAGCTTCAGGAAACCTAAGGTTTTGTTGAAACATTTATTCCATAATTAATTACGAAAAAATAATTTAAAAAAAAGCTACCGTTCTAAAGTTATTCCACTATTTGTGTTATACGTAAACAGCCTAATATGCGCGCCGTACGGCGTATTAGGCCGTCGACGAAGCCCCGAGCGACCGCGCTGACGCAGGTGTCGTGGTAGGTACCGCGCGCTTATGTTACTACTGAACTGAACTTAATAATGTTTCATTTTAATAAACGACCACGCGACTCTGTTTAGATTATGTTATTTAACTGATTTGATATGCTTATAATTAAAATAGCATAGCTAGCTACAATGATTAATTATGTCAATTTTTTGAATAGGTAAATACTAATAATAACTCGACCAAAAACCAATACTTCGGTAGTTAGTAGTACTAGTACTAGGTAGTTGGTAGTTACTTAGGTATTTATCATTTACAAGTATTCATCGGAATAAATGCCCGTCTCTAGATACTTAAGTATTAACAAAGAGTCTACCTTATTTACAGAAGATGCTGGAACTTGGAAGTGTCTTCCACCTTGTTCGATGCACAAGTTTGCACGACGCGACGTATTACGTTGTTTTTCACTCGCAATAATGTGTCTCTGTCACTTTTCTATCAAACGCGTTTATTATGCTTATTTTTAATTCGTCCGCGTTTCTAATCTCACTACCACTGACGAGCTGCAGATACATTTTCGCCACTTCTAATGTACCACATTAACATGTCTAAGTACTTGCGGTTACTGTACGTAAACGGCATTATTGAATATTGAACAACAAACAATAAAAAATGGCGCGTGCGATTGATCGGACACAACACTGAACGACACTGAGGGCCACACCCTTTCCGCGCGACAGCTATCGGTCAACTGGCGAGTGGCGATCAAGAGAGAGAGAAGTGGGAAAGAGAGCGGGGCAACTAGCGAACGGGAGAGAGGGAGAAAGAGAGAGGGATTGCGATAACATGGGGACGGTGACGGCGCGCCATTGCTTCGCTCGGGCCGCAAGCGCAGCTCCACGTACGGTTTGCAAAAAAACTTTTAACCAACTCCTTTTTTTTGCTAAACGTGTCAGTTTATTGATTCCCACCAACCACATAAAATATTTAGAGCTAATTTTTTAACACCTTATATATATAGATTTATGTAATTATCTGACCATGGAGTCCAGGATTTGTTCTCCAGGGTATTAGACAAAGTATAATTGTAAATTGATAGCATGGTTGTCGCTGTGGCTGAATGACTTCATTTTAACATTATGCATTTTTCATGGGTTTTATAATAACGTGTATTAAAAATTTATGGGCTGACGTGTATCTAATTCTAAACATTTGTGTTTGGTGATGATCATGAATGACTGATTAATCTTATCTCTTGTGCCTAGGTGGAGTGTGAGCTAGAGTTCCTAGGACTAGTGATAATGGAGAACAGGCTGAAGGCAGCCACCACCGGCATCATACGGGAGCTGAAGGAAGCCAACATACATGTCGTTATGATTACTGGTAAGTACAGCTTTCACCAGTCCCCCCTCATCCGCAATCCCCAAAAGGCCGGCAACGAACATAATACCCACTTTTCTCTGTATGAGTGCGGTCATCAAAGCCCAATTGCCCCCTGTCCCCTCCCTCTCTAGCCCCCTCCCCCATCCCTAATCCCCAAAAGGCCGTCAACGCACTTGTAACTTCTCCGATATTGCGGGTGATCATTACTGCGCTGATTGCTTACCGTCGAGTGATCCGTCTTCTCATTTAAAAGTACGCTATTTTGGTCCAAATGAGTGAATACACTGCTGGGATAAAAACTAGGATCGATACAGATCTTAAATTTACATCGGATATTAAACCGGCACTTAGACTTGTTTTAAATGAAATAACGTTTAAAATGACATCATATTTTACCCAATATTTATTTGCAGGAGACAACGTGCTAACAGCAGTGAGCGTGGCGAAGGAGTGCGGCATATTGATGGGGGACGAGCGAGTCGTCGTACTGCACCCAGACACCAGCGGGGGGGAGCCGCGCATATACTGCGAGAGCACGCTGCACGGGGTCCGTATACCTTGGGGGCATTCATTGTACATTTAGGTGTATTGGAATGGCTTAGGTAACTCTAATGTGCAACCGGCACATTACGGCACTTAATGTCACTGTACAATGTAACAACCACTTTTTACTATTTATGTTAAGAGTCCCATGTAATAGGGGGTGAGCCTATTGTCATATACCGGGCACAATTCCAATCTCCGTGCTACTACTGTGATTATTTAAAAACCCAGTAGTACTTGGCCAACCTGGAAATCGAACCCGAGACCCCTTGCCTGCCTTTAAAGAGTCGCAGTTGTGACCACTCGGCCGATAAGATTTCATAAATATTTTCAATCCACAATTTTGGGTTTCAGACCGTTTATTAAGATGTATCCTGAAATCTATCCTGGTACAATGATTTTGTTAAGAGCAATCAAAATAACCAACTTTAATCCTATTTTAATTCCCCAGGCGACAGTAGGGCGCCGCTACCCTCTCCAACGTGAGTGGCGCAGTGTGGACAGTGGACACGGCTCCTGGCGCTCCGCCCCCGCCTCCGATGACATATACGACACGGAGACCGGAGCCCTGGAGCCACGGTACAAGATTGTCATGACCGGGGATACTTGGCGGGTATGTAGACTGAAAAAAATTGCTTTATTATAGGTTTAACCCTTTGAGTACCGTCATTATAGACACAATTAAAGAACAATAGGTTGCGGTCACCGGTGTCCTCGCGGTGTTTGACAGTTTAATTCACACTGGGACTTAAAACTAGTTGACATTTATTCGATTAGTTATTTGCATAAATAGTCTAATTAGTAATAATTCATTGATATAATGTTACCAACTACAAAAATTCAGTGCGTTTTCGTAAATAAAAAAAAAACTATACTTTTTATGAATTTTGTACCATTTCACATTGTGTGTGACGTCACTTTCATTCGATTTATTATTTCAAATCAATAATATCTTTTTAAACTGAATAAAATTTTCGGCCTGCCTGGTCGCAAGTGCGACTGCTGGGCAAGGGGTCTCGGGTTCGATACCCGGGTCGGAAAAGTATAACTGGGTTTTTAAAAAAAAATCTCAGTAGTAGCACGGAGTCGTGCTACTACTGAGATTTGTGCCTGGAATTGTGCCCGGTATATGGCAATAGGCTCACCCCCTATTACATGGGACTCATAACATAAATAGTGAAAAGTGGGTGTTACATTGTCCAGTGGCATAATGTGCACCTCTGCCTACCCCTTAGGGGATAAAAGGCGTGATGTTATGTTATGTAAAATTTTACTTGTATCCCACTTCAAAATTGGACCTTAAATCTCCTAACAATAAGATTTATAACCACAGGTACTTCGTGATTACTACCCTGCCATGGTTCCCCGCGTAGTGGCCCGCGGCGCAGTATTCGCTCGCATGTCCTCCGACCAGAAGCAACAACTCATTGTCGAGTACCAGGCACTGGGGTACTATGTCGGTAAGTCAATGTCTATCAAACTTAATATAATATACACAGCCATTTATTTATTTTATTTTTTACTTTTTTAAGGTGTAAATATTTTAGTTTTAAATATTTATTTTAATAAGAAGTGTAAGATTAAATTCCAATGACATTGCAAAAAAAAATTCAAATACTTATAACTTAAACTTTATACTAAACAGTATAAAGTTTAAGTTATCACAACCATTCACACACCTTCTTGTGGGGTTCACCGTTGTTTGGTCGAAAATCACTTCATCGAATTTTAGTGCCAATAAAGTAATTTCGTAGAATTATTCCTTTGACCGAATATATCATTGGTAAATTATTATTATTTAGCATAATTATTTATTATAACGAATTTTCAAATGCACTAATTTTATACACAATTGCAAGTAATTTAAGATTAGTTTAACTGTTCTAGTTCAAAATATACCATCTGTACATTACTTTAAATGAACATGATACCTTTTGACCATTAGCGCAAATGTTGTTATAGTAAATAAATGTTCGACGAACTGAAAATTCTGTCAAACGATATTATACTAAGGGATGATTTTCTTAAACGTTGTTCGATTTAGTAATATTATATCAAAAGTTGTGAAACTTCTTGTGGGTCTCATAAGAGCTAAGTACACAATACACAGTTGACAAAGATGGAACAGCAGAGCTCTGATAAACCTGAATCTTTTTAAATACTATCCCAACCCGCTTGTAGGGTACACCGCTTCATTTAGAGGGGCCCATATATACCATCAGTGAATTATTAAGGATTGTCGATAATGATTGTAAAGAAATAACTAAGGAATTAATCATTTAAAATGCTGAAATGAAAATACTCTTGCTCCAGATCAGGATATCAAACTCTAAATTCTAACCTAACCATGAGTCAACCACAAAAAGACTAATAAAACCTAAATAGACTTAAGCATCTGACTTATAAAACAATAGGTTTAATTCATAGACTGCCTCGTTGGCCCGAGTGGTCGCAAGTGCGGCTGCCGGGCAAGGGGTCTCGGGTTCGATTCCCGGATCGGGCAAAGTATTACTGATTTTTTTTTATCTCAGTAGCAGCACGGAACTTGGAATTGTACCTGGTATATGGCAATAGGCTCACTCCCTATTACATGGGACTCATAACATAAATAGTGAAAAGTGGATGTTAAATTGTACAGTGACATTAAGTGCCGTATTGTGCACCTCTGTCTACCCCTACGGAGATAAAAGGCGTGATGTTATATTATGTAGTTGCAATTCAAATTCTTTTTTCTGCGTCCAGGTATGTGCGGTGACGGTGCAAACGACTGCGGAGCCCTACGATCCGCCCACACGGGGATATCACTCTCAGAACTAGAGTCCTCTGTAGCGGCACCCTTCACGTCTGCCAACCCAGACATAGTATGTGTCGCCAGAGTACTCCGGGAGGGACGCGCGGCCCTCTCTACCTCCTTCGGCGTCTTCAAATTCATGGTAGCTTACTCCCTTTCAGAATTCTTCTCGGTAGCCTTCCTTTACTACTTCGATTCCAATCTAACAGACTTCCAATTTTTATACATAGATGTCGCTTTAATCGTTAATTTCGCGTTCTTCTTTGGCATGACAGAAGCTTATACGGGCAAGTTGTGTAAGACGCCACATTTGACGTCGTTATTAGGCCTTGTACCTCTCTTTTCTCTTGTCGGGCAAATGATTCTAGTTGGCATAGGACAGTATTTAAGTTATTTAGCTTTGACATTTTTCCCGTGGTATGTTAGACATACTTATGAGGGCGATGAAGCTAACGAGTGTTGGGAAAACTACTCCATATTCGCGATATCGATGTTCCAATACATTATTCTAGCTATAGTATTCAGTCATGGGTCTCCTTATCGAAAATCGGTGATTACAAACAAACAACTAATGATCAGTATGTTGATAATGACGTGTATATGTGTGTACATAGCCGCGTGGCCGGCGGAGTGGATAGCCAAATTCCTACAACTACGAATGCCTAAAGATACCTTGCTTTCGTATATAATACTCGCTTTGGCAGCTTTCCATCTTCTCCTAGCTTTAATATTCGAAAGAGTAATTATAGAATATCTAATGGAAGGTAAGCAAATGATACCAAAGTTCTTAAAAGAGAAAAGGATAAGAAAAACTCCACATTTGTTGATTAGGAGGGAGTTAACGGATATGGATTATTTAGATTGTGATAGCATTATCAAATACGATAAGGAAACCAGCGATTCGACCTTCGAATCTTCCGGAAAAGACAGCTGAGATCAGCTTCCTAATTTTGAGTATAGGACTCGAATTTTTATGGTTAAATGTGATCTTTAATGCATACCAAACTGAGTTCAAATTCGCTAGATCAATTTATTTTAAGATATAAACCTGTTTTCTTTTTGAACAAGAAATCTTGCCTTTATTTTATAGTGCCATTTACTATACAGATATTATTTCAGATCACTGAAAGTTTAAAATTATGAATTTTTACTTATGTATTTCTAATTTTAGAAATATCGATACATACATATCGAGAATTGTCGATATGTTTTATGGAAAGTATTGTAGTGATGTGATCATTGTTAAAATATATCGATATTATAATGTTACGTCTTTAAAGAAGTTATCGATAAAAAATTGAATTATCGATATTAGAATTTATTTATATCGCGACAATCAAATGAACAATTTTATAAATTAAGTTACATACAATATTTATAATACTGAACATTTTAATCTGAAATTTAAACAAATTTTTATTCTAAGTTTTAGTATTATTAATATAATAAAATATTATCATTATGTTTTAATTCTAATTAAAATATTTAAAAGGTTGTTTTAATGGTACAATAATGCAATCACTCACAAACTTGGGTGCTTATTTTCAGAACTTATTTACAATATCATTTAGTGCATATTATGTCTATATTTTTAACAGTATTGCTCTTTATAATTGTAGTTTTATAATGGGTATCACTGTATGTAAGTATAATCGCCAGATGGTGTAAGTGTAGCAAGTTTTTTGTCCAATCCAATGTTATGACTAGCTAATTTCATATTCACGAGACGATCTCTGGCCACCGTAAGCACGGGCCTGCGGTTGGCGACCACGGGTGACTCGTCGCCAGAACCAGGCCCGAGCGTACATCGCGTCGCGTTCCGCGCGCGCCTCAAGGAGCCATCAGACCACCAAGGATGGAGCCCAATAGGGCTGATGCCGATACGGAGCCGCGGAAAACTTAACAGGTTGCCCGGGTTCCGGCTATTTGCAGGAGTAGGAACGGGGTGGTTTTTAGTTTGTGAGAATCTGACACTCCCTCTCGCCTCACCCGGGAGGGATAAGCCATTGGATGATGATCAACCCCATCAAAAAAAGCTAATTTTTTATTGGACGAAAAACGAGAGGTACACACTAATACCATCTAGTGGTGACAATACAGTAGTCCCCATTATGCCCGGTGATTTGCATTTTTTTCATATTTTTTTTTACTTTAATGACGGAACGTGGATGTTCTCCGACCTCTTTGAGAATTAAAAGGTGTTGTTACATACTTAATGTTACGCTTTTTATAGCACAAAGGGGTAGGCAGAGGTGCACAATATATTTAGTGTTATCCCCCACTCCTTGCGCAAAATTTTATATTTATTAATTTATTATTAATATACATTTCTTAAAGCATTTTTAAATAAAGTATGTACAGTTATTATGAATTAAGTTTGTAATTTTTGTATTAATATCTCCAAAATATGGAATAGTATTTTTAACACAAAGTTTTGTATATTATACGAATCTACACTTCGTCCTAAGTAAAAAATACATTTTCTTATGAAATGCACAATTTCTTTGTATTTGTAGAGTTTTTATTATAACTTAGATATAGTAATGTAGTTTATTTTATTTATAAGCACAATGTGATAACAAATTAGAAAGTGCCTTATGTATTTTAGTAGGAAAACATTCCAATGTTTGATACTGAAAGTATCAAGTTTTAGTGTAATTTTAAGAGTGTTTTAATTATAATGGGTTGTCTAGATCGTCTTAATTTAGGTACAGGTATGTGTGTGAGGTCCAACACTCCACTGTGAAGAAACATTGCAAAATATACAATTGACAATGCACAGTATACATGGCCGTAAAATATCTATAGAGTGTAAACGAAACACTGACAAAAAGAAAGTGTTTTTACATTTTTAAGCGTTTTTGTTTTCGTGTTATTGTCGTTCATGCAACATGTCGCGGAGAACCTAACGGGTTACCGGGGCTCCGTCTCGAAGCGCAGGAGAACGAACGGGGTGGTTTTTAGTCAGTAAGAGTCTGACACTCCCTCTCGCGTCACCCAGGCGGGAGCTGTCATTCGATGATTCTCCCTCCTTAAAAAAAAATCATGCAATATCAGCCTAGAGCAGTTGATTGCAACTATTATTGCGTTCAGTTTTTAGTTTTATGATTCTTAAGTTCTAAAGTATTTCTTTAAAAAATCCAAATAGGTATAAAGATTTAGTATTAACATCGGTGTCATCTACTGTACAATCGATTTTATTTCTACGATGTCTTTAGTGTTCTGATGTTTATTGTCTGAGAGTATGCGACGTGGTTTTTGCAATGCATCATCGTAACGTAGTGTTGTACCACTGGTTTTGCCTCCTTGAATGACCTCTTGAAGTTATGTATGTAGTTTGCCAAAAGGCAGATGCGTATTCGCATATTATTTTAATTTACCTTTAATAAATATAAGATGCAAGTGATTTTAATATAGTTACCACTGTCTTTTCAAAATTGTATGTTGTATGACTGAGTTCGACGGGAAATGTTATAGTATTTTATATCTAACAAAATTGTATTGTTTAGTTGAACATGTTTCGAAACTAACATCACATTAAGGGCCTGTTTCTCAATAACTGACAAGTTCCTAATAACTTGATATATTTCGTATAACTAACAGTACCTTGATCAGATGTTGTAAAATAGACCTTAAATGAAACAAATATCGCGCACTAAGCAACCGTGGTGATTAATACTTATTCATCATCATCATCATCAACAGCCTATAAATGCCCACTGCTGAGCAAAGCCTCTTCTCACACGGAGAAGGTTAGAGCATTAATCACCACGCTTGCTCAATGCGGGTTGGCGATTTCAAACTTATAACTAGAAATTATAAGTCCAGGTTTCCTCACGATGTTTTTCCTTCACCGTTTGTCAGTTGTGTCTAAATAATCTTAGAAAGTACATATAACTCGGAATAAGTCACATTGGTACTTGCCGTTGGTAGATTTCGAACCCGCACCCTCATGCATGAGAAGTGGGCGTCTTAAACCTCCGGGCCACCACGACAATACTTATTAAGTATTACTTAAAACCTTCTCCGAGTGAGAGGCCTTTGGTCAGCAGTTGCTTACACGCTGTTGGTGTTGATATTGTTGAAACAAATACTTTTTGTATCTGTCAGTTTAAACTATACTTACTACATATAAAAAAAGTTAATCATATCCAGTGTATCATCTCATTATAGTTAAATCGATGAAGAAATTGTGTCATCAAAATAGAAAAATAATATTATTCTTGTATAATTCATTGAAGTTACCTGTTTATTAATTTTATTTAGATCCAGCGGTCACCAGTGACTGCTTGGGGATTAACTACATTATAGACCTTATTTCCGATATTTAGAGACTACTTTTGTATGAACAAATTTGGGGTATGTATTATGATGAAGTGCAAAAAATTAAATAATGTCCATCTGATTAGTTATTCAAAGACAATGGATAATAAGAAAGGAGATGCTATTTTAAACCGAGTTTGACCTCAAAAGAAGTGGTTCTCAGTTTTATCTGTATGTATATCTGCGATTATTTCGCGATCAGCTGAACCGACTTTAATGCGGTTATCCAAAAAGTAGTTACACGTAAGACCTTCTATTAACTTTATAACTGACTACAATAAAAAAGAGGTTGGAGTTGGATTTTTTAAACGTAGTTTAATAAACATTATTTTTGGACCTTAAGATCATCCCTATTCTTATGAAAGTGAAATTATTAATAATAAAAAATGTGTTTTAGTATGAATTCTATTTACATTAGTAATGTTACTAAAATGTGTAAGCTTTATTAGGTTGCAATAAAGTTGATTATCCTTTGATAAATTATTGAATTTTAGACGTTTTTATCTTAATTTAATAGAAAATCCAAACTTATGTAATTTCTATTTATTATAACTTTCGTGAGACATACTAAATTAATTATTATGTTTTTCGACTTACTCATGAGCCTTTAACATGGCTTAAAACTAATAAGTTCCTCGTCAAATAATTACGTACATGAGTAAGCTAAAAAACATAATAATTAATTATGTCATTTCGTGTGAAATGGTTTTTAAATATATATTTATGAATGATTCTTGTATTTAATTTGTATAATTTGAATAATATTATGTTTGGAAATGAATTGTACGAGATAATGATTTCAATAAATGCGTTTTATTGATTTTTGTGTTTTCTTTGAATGCCTCAGTAACATACTCAAAGTAGTATAAATTAGAGGCACGACCCGTTTATCCACTGGAATATATCACACCCACAACACAAGAGGAGTTATAAATGGGTTGCCGGTCTTCATTAATTTACCACAAACAATAAAAATAATATTAGTAAATTAAAAAAAAACATAAACTATTACTTCAGTTTTGCCAATCATTTGCAATTACAACAAAATACAAAGTCAAAGTCAAAATCATTTATTTCAATTAGGCCAGAATGGCACTTTTGAACGTCAACAAAAACAAAAATTTAAAGTGAAGCTATTTGCTCATTCCAAGGCGTAGATTCCTATGGAGAAGAACGAGCAAGAAACTCCATAGGTTACTCTTTTTCAATCAGGTTCACAATACAATTTACTAGTTACATAGTTTTGCTGTTTGGATTGTGCGAGAACAATGTAACACTAAAATCCAGTCAAAGTGATCAAAAAAGAAAATAACCTTAAGGACAGTAATACAGTCTGGAGCTGACCAGTCCCAGTTGACGGCGCCCGTTCACGAACATGACACGTACACCAGCACCGCCCAACTCAACCATATTGTAGGGAATCGAGCGATCCACTGCACGCGCCACCGCCAATGAGACCTTTGAGTGAGCATGACAACTCCAAGCTGACACAAATGAAATCTACTAATCTAATTTAATATTAAGTTAATTACAGGGCTCTCACATTTACAATGGTTATCTAAGTTAAACAATCAGTGTCACGTTGACAGATCTGTTGATCGGACGTCTCAA